AATATTATATATATATATATATCTTTATCTAATTCATATTTCCGGATGATATAGCCTTGGGAAGGTTTGTTTTGAGGTGGCGGTAAGACTCAAATAAGCATTTCCGTGAGGGTTCGAGAAGGGTCGAGGTGTATTTGGGGATCAAGGAGACACTGACAGTCTCAGACTGCCCGTTTAAAACCTGATATCTAAAGCAGAAGCTTGAATCTGCGCTTCCAATTTCACCAATCCTTCCACCCAGAATCTTCATCCCAAGTCCCTAAATCCTAAAACCCAAAGCCCGAAATCGTATACCCAGAATCCCGACCTCCGCACAGGGGCACGGGCCTGCGGCTCTCTACCTCGCCCATTGCACTGCCGCCGCTGCGGTCGCCGATGCCCAGGGACGGTTTCCTGAGGCAGTGGATGGCTGGTTTGGAGTTGAGGGTGTGGGTCAGGGTTAGTATACAGCTAGGGTCTAGGTCAAGGGTTTAGGGTTTCGTGCTTGGGGTCTAGTGTTTGGGGGCTGCCAGGTGAGGGACTTAATTCATGCGTGTCTATAGACAAGTTTGAGACTTTACGCAGGTATGGTTCTGGAGGAGCCGGGGTTCACTGGGGGGTTCGGGGTCTTCATGGACTGCTCTTACTAGGGTTTCGTGCTTAGTTGGTCGCATTCGCGATACTCACGCGTGTGCAGTGACTCGTAATCTGATGTAAAGGTCCCCAAAAATCCAAGCATTGTATCAGCAACTTCCTACTGCATCGTCCGCACATGGAGCCGCTGCTTCCAGACTATGGGCCCTACACTTCTGCATTGCCCCTGCTTCCCTTAACATGTCACTGCGGCAGCCTGAACCCCAAACCCTTCACCCATGATGAAGTCCCGGCATTCTCGCGGCTCAAGCTCTTTCCTTGTGTAGACTCAGTGTAGACCTGCTCGGTCCCTTTTGCGAGGCCTCACGGCAAGGCACGCAAGATGCCACAGGCTATTTCGATACACATGCAGCGTCGAGAGGTAGCTCAAATGCTAACAACCTCTAAGAGCCGAGTTAGCAAGGCTCACTTCACCTTCTGCCCACTGCCAGGCTTTGAAGGAGTAGCCAAGAAGCCCAGCTTTAGCTTTAGGGGGTGCAATTCTATCAGCCTTTTGCACGGTGATGGCGGGTGGCCTCTCCCTGCCGATGACAGCTTCGTATGCTGCATGGCTTGACTTCCGGTCTCCCGAAGACGATGAGGCGTGGACCGTGTGCGACTTTAAGAAACTACGGGACGCCAATGTGGGCCCATATCCTGCTCTCTAGGATCCTTAAAGCATGTAGGCCCCCTAATTTGCTGAAACTTTCGTGTCTGTTCTGAGGTATCATTCAGAAAAGGTCCTGGTCTTGAAGACCTGAGATGGTCCTGGTTGCTGAGGTTCAGCGAAGTCTTGCACAGTTGTCTGCCCCTAAACTTCAATCGCTTAGTTGCCTGACAGCGATGAAAGCGCTTTGGCCTTTGAGTTCGGGATAGGGGAATATGTCTGAAAGCTCGTACCATCAATGGTACCCCTTCTGATACTGCCGGTGCCAATATCTGGAAGGTGAAAAATCACGTATCGTTCTCATCGTCACCAAACCACCCGGCATGCACCCGCAGTCTGGCTGCTGGCAGCGGCGATGGGCCGTTCTGTCCCAGGCCTGGTCGTTTCCATGGACCTGAGTACTGTCACTCTGCATGTTGCAAAGCACATGAGAATTTGCTGGATAATGATACTGGCTGGTAGCGAGGAGCATTCTGTCTGACCGTTGCTGCTGCAGCTATTGTGCTGCCACGGTCACTACTTCTTGTCGTTGAAAGACGACTTTCATTGCTGATATAGTCCTTGCTTTCGTGCACAGGCACAGAGATGTGGTGGTTGCTTTGGTTCATGGCCGATGACATTGATGTCGCGATGATGGTGATGATGATGGTGGTGATGATGATTAGGGTGATGGTGATGTTGACGGTGCTGATGGTCATGGTGATGGTGATCGTGATGGTGATTGTGGTGATGATGGTGGTGATGATGGTGATGGTGATGATGATGCTGGTGATGCTGATGATGATGATGTGCCGGTGATGGCGACGATGGTCAGCCTCACGGGGCGACGATAGCGACGATAGTGGCGGTGTTGTCGCAGGTGCCTGCGGCGATGACGGATGCGATTGTGTTGTCGATGGTGCATGCTGTAATGGATTGCAGTGATGATGCTGGTGGTTATCTTGATGTTACCGACATCGATGGCGATGGGTGTCACGATCCATGTTGCACGATAGTCACTTCTAGCCGACTCTAGCGCTTGTGATTACGGCAGTTGGCTTCGATATCTAAGGCTGCGTTTACTTGGAAGGTTGTTGCTTTTGCAGGCCTGTGTGAGCGAATCTATGCATTGGCAGGGCTTCCTGTCGTTGTTCCCGGACGACACGTGCACGCCCCTCGCCCAGAATTCAGTGTGAGCTCCAAGTTTAGGGTTAACATAGGAGCCTAAATACTTACCAATACTGTTTTGGGGGTTCCTGATTATAACTATAGTATAACCCTATTCTAACTATTGAGGCCCCTACATTAGGGTTTGAGGGTTTAGGGTTCAGGTCTTGGAGACCTTGCGTTTTAAGAAAAGCCTTAATAATTACAATAATCCTTTATAGTACATCTGTTATAAGAAACCAAAGCAGTAATATTGGTAATTATTTAGGCTTCTAATATTACAAAGCGAAACCACCTGCATCTTGAAGCGCTTTCTGCGATGAATCGTACGGTTCTTTCATTCTTCGAGCCCCCGACCCGGCTTGCATGGCTCCGAAACACCACGAACGTCTGATCCAACACACAGAGAGCGTATTGTATACTGTAAACATGTCGTTGGAGAATATATGCAAGCAATTAGATTGCTGGTATTCGTGGCAGTAGTTTCTAAGCCTGTGCTGGCAGAGTTTGAGGCGTGCCACCGGCAGGCTTCGTCTTCCGGCCACAGCGGGGGCCCGAGTAGAAAATTCAGGCTGTCTTGTTGAAGAGCCTCGGGCTCACAGAAACCCTAAAAGTAGGTAAATAACTGTCCAACACCTCAAAAAGGCAATCATTCTACATACTTTTGGGGTCCAGGTAGGGCTCGGGATGTAGGGTTTGGGGCTTGGGTCCTGGGTTGTAGCGCTCAGGGTTTACCTTGTAAGTCCGAGTCGCGATGTTGCCGCACAATGACATCTTTGTAATGCAACATCTGTTGCTAGGCTGCATCATCGAGAAACTTGTTTCAACCATGGAGTAGCTCCTACTGCTGCAAATATGCCGTTGTTGTTGAAGACCGTATTCCGCTGCACATGGGTTAAGTGCGCGGTTTGATGAGTATTCATGGCTGGAATGATCCCCGGTAGCAGCGGTGGTGGTGGTGGTGGCGGTGGTACTGGTAGCAGTGGTCTTGGTTGTACAGTAGGTGGGAAACGTAGTGGTTATAGTAGTGGTTGAGGTCTTGGTACTGCTACTGTTGCTGTGGTACTGGTATAGCAGTAGAAGTAGCAGCAGTGGTGGT